TCGAAGAAGATTTCAATCCGTTTTTCATAGTTATAGACGCGTTTGAAGAGAAATTCGGACAAATATCCAATAAAATGTTCTTCTCTCCTTCCGTATCTTGGAATATTTCCCCGAACTTCTCTCCAAACGCGCTTTATGTGTTGAGTGTGTGCACCTTTAAATTTAAAGAATACGTTCCAACATAAATTATAGTTAAACATTAATTATTTATTTTAATTATTATTATGTATATTAATACTTTTGAACATTTCTCACCAGTGTCAGGATCGACGAAATTATAGGAATGGTTTACTGTCAGGTGTTGGAAGCCCTCATTGTTTAAACAATCGTAGGACTTCCAACAATCTGACACAATAGTTGTCCCTGGCAGTATCCATTCCTTTATAATTGCCAAGAGCGTCTTTTCCGTACGATCCTCCACTGGTACTATGAATATCTTCTTCGACCCCTGCTCGTATCCTCCGAAGATCCATTGACCTTTTACAAGGCGACCACGATTGTATTTCCGTTTTCCAATCTTTGCTTCATCGATTTCTACTGTGTGTCCTGGGCCACCAAGCTTTTCACTATTTTTCTCAGCCCAGAACACACAGACCTGCAAGAAAAAATTTATATTAATATTTTATTTTAAACAAAGTATATGAAGTTATTTACAAAACATAAATAATTATGATTACCTCTCGGCAAAAGTTGAACCAGTCAACAATCGTGGTCGGCGATACAATGCCTGTTTCTACTTGCGTTCGATCTTGACGTGGGTGTTGCAACATCAGAAAACATGCAACTAATCTGCATATTGTACCCACGTCAAGATTACTGTTGGAGAACCAAGTACCAGTCTTTGCACTTACGTCAACAAAACAACGTACTGCTACTCGTTTCTTGTGTACATTTTTGTAGTACCGCCTTCTGCACTTGAACATTAATGTTTCTGTATCAATGTCCATATCATTACCACATTTCTTACACTTCATTGTATTTGGTAATAATTTGTGCTTAATTAAAAAATGTATTAATTTATTATGGTCAAACGTTAAGTGACCAAATTGGAGCAGGCCAAACATCGTGTACGTGATGTGCAATTTCCCGTTCGACAATTACAATATTGTTGCGTTTCATTTGTTTTCTAGCGTACATTTTAAATTTCGAGCCTGTTTGACCGAAAAGAAACGAGGCGCATTCCGAAAAGAAACGAGACGCATGCGCAAAACATCGAAATGCATGTAGAAAACATGGCGAATGTAGGACTGTGACAGCTTACCTAACCTGAATAGTCGTCAACTTTAACATTAAATATCTCGGTTCGTAGAGCAGAGCGACACTTATTTCTGCAAGATTCTTTCGTTTTATGCAAAAACGCGTCGAATGAGCCTAATTTTATCGAAATCAGAGGTGGAGGGGGTATTCTGTATAATTACCCTTTTTAAAATGTTTCAATGAGTTTATCGGAATACTTCGAGATAAGAAGGATAGTAATGATGAGTAAATATTTTTACTTCTACTAAGACCATTAATCCTACAAAATCATTTTTAATTATTATCCTACATAATTATTTTTAATTACCTAAAAGAAAGTTGATTATTTTAAATTAGCTTTATTTTAGTCAATTCTTTTTATCCATTGGAATGCAATGAGCATATGCCTATTATAAGTATTAGTCTGCTACAACCCGTCGGCTAACATAAAGGAGGCATGGCAGTTTCGCTGCGCTTGGCTTAAGCGCCCAGACACTACCATGTTTCATTTGGAATTTACACTGTGATTTTCTTTTTTTATCGTTATCAAAATGTGCAATTTATATTTCTTCTGTTTCAAATATATATATTATATATGCACATTAACCATGTTATTCATATATTACTTAATTATTAAAAGGAAGGTGTAGTTCTAATAATAAGTTAAACAGACTGTTGTAGATATTTTCTGTTACCAACAAGACTGAAATTTCTATCAGATATGTAATAATTTATGTTTTATTTACATTGAAATAATATCGAAGTACCTGTTTTAATGGTGATAAAGTAGTCTATGTTAAATATATCTTACTTTTTCGTGCTAAAAGCGTATATAATTTCGACAGATAGAATGATGCTTTCAGTACAAAAGCATATAAAACGAATTTATAAAATTAATTAGTTATTGTTTTAAGTTTCCAATATTATCATTTTGTAATTGAATGTTATTTATGTTGTGTAACTTTTAGTTTATATAGATATATAGGTATAAATAAATTACATTATAAATTTAATTCATAAATAAAATAACCAATATGTTTGAACTGTATAAACATGTTTATTTATTCCATATTTCCCATATTTACATTGGAAGAATATTCATAATTTCTCTTCTTTTCAGTATGCTTGCATTATTTCCTTCTTCTTCATTTATGTTTGTAATGAATTTGTCATGGTCTCTTATATCCCTTATCTCCATATTGTCTACTAGTTCCTCAGGTAAATCTTCATTTAAAATACTGATATTGTGCATAATACATGCGGATACTATCAATAGACAAATTAAATCTAATCTAACTGTTTCAAGATACTTTAAGCGTCTAAATCGCCCTTTTAAATATGCAAAAGCATTTTCTATTCTCACACGACATTGTGATAATTTTTTATTAAAATTTTTTTCTCGTTCAGTTAATCCACCAACATCTTTAAAACCTACTAAAAGATATGAAGATAACTTATAGGCTAAATCTCCCACTAGATGACTATCATTAGGAAATTCAATTAAAGAATTTTTTATCCTTGCATATAAATCAGACTTTTTAAATAATCTCATATCGTGAATAGATCCAGGTTCCCCAACATAGACATCTAAAAATAATCTTTTACTGTCGCGGACTCCTTGTAGAAGTACAGAATGGTAATTTTTTCTGTTGCAGTAAGAATTTGGATGATTCTTTGGTTTTAATATTTGGACATGCGATCCGTCTATAGCTCCAATAATTCCTAAAGGAAGATTATACTTAAAAAAACATTTGAAATAGTAAATGAAAAATAGTAAATGAAAAATTTTAGTTATTATTTACTAGGGAACCCATTAATTTGTTGAAATTGTCTCATTATTGTTGAAGCACGTTCTCTATTTGGCCATGATATAATTTTATATATGGTATTAACTTTTAAGAGACTTTTACATGTTCTGTAAAGTATATCCCAACAAGTACTTTTACTGATATCGAAACGATCAGCTACTGATCTAAAAAGAAAAATAAGAATATATATAGGTATATATATAAGAAAATAGAGAAGTTTTCTTTGCACTGTAGATAATTTATTTTATATATATCAGTAATTTATCATGAAAACTTACTGGAAAGATTCTATATTTGATAAATACCAAATGGTAATCATTAATTGTTTTTTAAGTGGAACAGGTTTGCATCCTGTAACTACCTGATTTTTTTATACTCGGACTAGCTCGTCGGAAAGTTTGCGTTTCGTATAAAAAAAAGGTTCGGCTGGAGGAGTATTCGCGTCGGAACGGGGCGGCGGGAAATTATGTGAGGCGTCGGAAATCGGTAAAGAAAACTAACGCAGAAGTAATAGTGAGACAAGAAACGTAGTTTATTGAGATAGTGTAGACGATACGGAAGTTATAAAAATCGACGAGAAAACAACATATAGGAATATATAATTAACGGACGCGACTTACAATAATACCGCGAACAAACAAAAAAA